AAAAAAAAAGCACCTTGACACACAGGGATTTGAACGTGCTTGTAACGTGTTCACAGTATCAGCTTGTTGGCCTTTACGCCTTTACCGTTGGCTGCTCTGTGTACAGGATTTTCTCTTTGTGTTCATCTCACCGTTGGACAGGTAACTACAGTGACCGTTCAACAGCTTTCAAAAACTCGACCACATTCTTCATGGCTTCATCATCAGCGGACACGGTGTTTTCACATGCTGTACGAGCTTTAATTCCAAACTCTTTCGCCTGAAAAGATAATTTTACAACATGTTACAACAGATAATAAAACTTGGTACTCGGAGGAGTACAAGTGCCTTAAAAATGTTTCCCTTTCAAAACACTGTGTATCCTTCAGTATTACTCGAACATGGATCTTCTCTTCATCAGGATTCGGCTTTCGAAACACTTTTTGAAGAAAATAAGCCGCTCTACTAGGCACTGCGAAGATATCTGTCTTATTAACATTGCCAACCCATTGCGGACCAGTGCGCTGTTGTTGCGGACTACCTTAATTACTTTCGCACCTGATGTCTTATTTTTCACTTTGCCCCGTTTCCTTTTTTCTTTTTACAAAACCCCTTATTACTATTCACTGTCTAAAAAGACTGATATATTCACCTGGTACCGCCCCGAGAGCGCATCGCGAGGGGCCGCACCAGGTGAATATATTACATACCCCCTCGTTCCAGGTAAATAACCATTACATAGTGGCTACAATGTAGCCAAAAAAAACCAAAATAAACAAACAAACAAAATTTGTGCTCACTTTAGGCATGTCCCCCAGGATATACTGCAACATGGCTGTGGTGAAGTATATTTTACACATCACTGCTGGTGTCTGCACGGATTGTTGTTCTCGCAGGTCTAATATGGCATTTATAACCTGGATAGCCTCGGCTTCCTGGGCTTCATCTGAAAGAAAAAAATGGCAATTTTACATAGCACTGCTTCTCGTATTATTAGCTTACGGTTCTTTCTACAAATCGTCTGCAAGTGGACTGAAGTATTAATAAGCGTATTGGACAACGGACAGTTAAGGATGGAAATATGCGGGAGATTGAAAAGATGGACAAGTTTTCTTCACGTTCCTTGGACTGTGTCCTGATCGACTCGGACATTGATCATGGTTAATTATCTTATGAATTTAACTGAGATTTCTACGTTACAAATTTTGGATAATTTGTTTCCGCAAAAAAAAATATCCACCACAATGAATGAAATGCTTACAGTGATGCTTCCCACTGGAATACCGTTGTTGCCCTTATCTCATTCCCACCTCTCTAAGATTTGCTATCCCATGCATCTCTCCCCTGATTTTGAGCCCCAGTCGTCTATCATTTGGCGATTTGAGGTCGCAGTTAAGACTGGGTCGGTGTTGTGTCGAATTACACTATGGGATTGTTTTAGGAGACGAATTTTGGCCCGGTTGGTTGTCCTGTGCAACCTCATAACAGCCAATAAAACAAGCGAGTTCTCGAGACATTCCCATAATGCAATTCGACAAACCGTACCAAGTCTTACTTGCAATCCACAGAGAGTGGTTTCTTCAACTGAGCAGATATACCGCTACTAAAGAGTAAACCTACAAAGATCTAATAAGTACAACGAAAAATTTACCTAAAATTTCAAAGTCCGTCGGGAGACCTGAGTTAAAAGCTGGACCTATACCAGACGGCTTCGCGGGCGTTTTGGTTCGTTGACGTAATAATCTGCTAAGGTGCTCGTACCATATATCAGTCACCTAAAGACAAATGGGAAACAACAGTACTAAGGATTACCTGCACACGCTACATAAAGAACTCCGCGTTTAACTAATTTTTTAATGGCCTTTGCTATGGCAGATCAGGTACCCTGGCTCCAGAGATCCGTTCTCAAAATACCTAATATGAAATAAACCGTGCTTACGGTTTGATAAGGCTCCAGAGACGGACGGTTATTTTTTCCTCTCGACGCTTCGCGCCTCGTTGACGCGGCTTCACCTTGAACCATCAGTATCGATAAGAAAAAATATCGTCTGAAATCCAGGGTACAGATCAGGTGGACTAGCGATCACACAGGATTAAATCGCGTTGGAAGAACTCAGATTTTTTTTCCAGTTAAAATTCACCACCTAATTTATTTCACTGCGCCGTTCCAACCCTAGTAGTATTAAGAATGTTTGTCACATAACCCTAGTCTAATGGCCCTAGCCCTCATGAGGTCTTCAATAGCTCAGTGATGGCCAAGCACCTTAACCAGAACGTTATACGTTTGACTGTTGTTGGGAGAATTCGGATTTTTTGTCTTTGTCATTTCTGTCACTGACAGGAAAAATATCATTCTAATCTGCTAATGTGTTTTTGTTTGACAACACTGAGAAGGAGGGTTTGGAAAACGTCTAAGTGTGGACACTGGACAGGGCTTCAGTGTGGGAAACGCGTTCATAGTTCTCACTGAAGTGACCAGGCATCTACCTAAGCAAACAGGTTCAGTGTTTGTTATTTTGTATTTTTTAGACACAGACAAGGTATTACACCTAAGTCATATCATCATCAGTTTTTAATCCTTTAAGTTTTACAAGGTAAGAATTATAAAAAGAGTAGAAAATACACCGTATTCACAAATGGCGGACACGCGGGAAAAAACTGGTGCCTAGTCATGAAAGCGAGGCGTTGGAGGATAAACAAAAATTGCAAATGAAGACTTTCAGTGAACTTGCAGAGTGTTTAGCACG